ATATTGGTGCCGTATTTTGCACAGCATCATTTCGTTTAAATATAAACACTACAAACGGTGGTCTGCGGCTACCCTTCTGATGGCTCACAAGAGCACTGCAACTCCTAAATGTTAACCAATGAGAATGAACTGTTGCATATCAGAGCAGCCAAACCTGACCCACACCTTGAGTAATCACAGCCCCTTTGACCAGTGCAACCACACGAAGTAAACATCACAAACAGATAACCAAGAAATACATTCTGAGAGTTTCCCCAGGATCTGAGAAGGACCTTTTACATCACCATCAGGGAAGATTCTGCAGATTGTTTCCTGGAAAATTAGCTCTCAATCAGAAGCTTAGAAGCCAGAGTATTTCCAGTTTTCGTCCCATCACACAATGCTATTCGTATCTTTTTTAAAAGCCTGAGCTTTTTTCTCCTTCTGTATTTTTAACTGTCTTTAAAAGAAATATTGTGTTGTGCTCACAGCAGAATTGACAATGAATGTTTCTTTTCAGTGGATACAGGGTATCTTGGTGAAGGTTACTCCTCCCACACGCACCATTGACATGGCTATGTAAATCAGACACAGTTGTAATGCCATCCCTTCTGTGATGAGGGGCTCCTGCCCAGTTTGGGGATACAGTGCAGCAGAAACTATTCCAAATAAAACAGGATTACCAGATTGCAAAAAGAAATGCTTTCAGGGTCCCAAACTGATTCAACTAACAAATCAGCTGAGAAGGAAGGGTAGGACAGGAAAAATGGTCATCCTCAGGACTTTAGCTGGAACCCCTGGGCCCTGGAAGGCTAACCACCCAATCCTACCTCAGCAACAGTACAATCCAAGGGAGTCAGAATACCCTCTACCTGCCAATGAGAAGAAACATTCATGATGTCAGATGCTCCCCACCCCCAACAATGTAGAAAGGTATAATTGTGAGGGATGTTGAACAGCAGCCTCCACATCCTTGGCAGGGAATCTCACTGCTAGAAAATATGGAGGAAGAATTTGCTGAAGCCATCTGCCTCCCAAGAGCACCAGCAGAGATGATGGCAGCATCCCTTCTGGAATGGTACACAAAGGAAGAGATGGATAACCAAACAGCCACTCTGCGGATGTCTTCCGGAGGGAAATTGATATGAAAGCAATAGAAACTGCAGCTTCTCTAGTGGAATGGGCAGAAATCCTACCAGGTGTAGCGTACATTGGGCCGTGTATCTGAACATATATATGGCTTAAATCTATTTTCCTGTGGTAACTTTGGATCCCTTCCTTATATACATACTGGACAGTTGGAGAAGTAGAGTTCACTTCAGAAGGAAGTGAGGGTTCAGGTCTGAGTACCACCAGGTCTTTGTGGAATACATCTAGCTCATACCTGGTGGAATGAGTACTCCATTCTAAGGCGCTTTAGGCCACTTTCACGGCAATTAAGAAGGCAACCTTAAAGGAATGAATCCTGGGGGATGCACATTCACGAGTTCAAAGGGCTCCTACAACAGAACTACCAGGAGCATATGAAGGTCCCCGATAAGGAATCACTTGATGAGGAAGGGCCTCATCAAAAAGCGGATGGAGAACAGAGAGGTACCTTTCCTGCTCACCAAGATGGAAAGAGTTGCAGCTCTACTCATGCGTGCTTTGGGATGCAAATTCTAATTTACAACGGTGTGCGGGAAAATCAAGGAACTCTGCCACTCTTATTTAATTTATTTACTTCATTCATACCCCACCTTTCCCCCCAGTGGGGACCCTAACTGGCCCAAGGTCATCCAGCAGGCTGCCATGGCACAAATGGGGAATCAAATCTGGATCTTCAAGATACCAGTCCGACATTCTTAACCACTACACCGGCTCTCTACACCAGTGAAGTGCGGCTGGCCACATGGTCCTGTCGACTGTGGCAGGATGCAGTCACCTAGCTGTGACCGCTTTATTCCTCTGAACCCACATGCCTGGGAAGAGCTGAAAAGGACACAACTAAGCTTCTATGTCTATTCCAGCACCTTCTACAGCCTCTGAAATCTCTAGGCTTAAACTGCTGTTTAAAAGGAACAGGCTTTTCCTTTTTTTGCACAGAAAAGTGGAGAGGGGGTTCAAGGAACAATCTTCTTGCCCTCTGATTTGAGTCTACATCTTTTAAAGACTCTCCAAAGATGTGACCACCCACTTGAGAAAGTAATCACTAGTCTTAGCCTTAGAGACTTAGCAGCCACACTCCATTATTTCCACCACAGATTTAGTCTGATCACAATGTGAAAATAATACGTACTTTATAAAAACTTGTATTCATATAGTTAGCAAACAGCCTTGGATGCTTTATTTAAACTTTTGCACAGAACTAAAATTTCCCGTGATGTACGTTCTAGGGAGCACTTTCAACCAAATTATTGAAACCGTGGCAAAAGTAGAGGTGGGTGAGGCAGTCATCCCCAGGACTCAAACTCGGGGACCCATGGAAATTGAAGAAAAGAAGCTCACTGAAAGCTGGACCATGATGCCAGAAACCAATAGCTATGGAGGCCTTGATTGAAAGGACAGATAAGATGTGATGCTGTTGTTCGCAGAATAATCTCTTCACCCCTTGTGCTTGACTGGTATTCTAATGGCATTAAAAGGACAAGGTGAAAAACACTTCAGCTGAAGTGTACCAGAGGAAGGTTCCAGAAGTTTCTGGAGATGGATCCAGAGATTCACTTCAGCAAGGATCCTAAATCTTCCCTGCTTTCCACTCCTCTCAACATTCTCTTCCAACACTAAGGAAGTTGATTCCCAGAGTCACAGAATCTGCATGAAGGAGCAGCCACAAGGGCTAGCATACTGCAGAGAGGAGGGGGAGAAAGCACTCCCCCTTCTGACGGAGCAGCACCTTTCACTAACCGATTGCTGTATCCAAACACTTGTCTCTTCACCAAACTACTCACCCTCTTCTACATCAGGTGAGATAAGGGACTGAACCTCTTGTGGTAGTGAAGTACAACACAAAGAGTAGTTAATCCATAGCTTCAGTCCACCTAATAGTCTGAATGCACTGCTCTATGCAAAATTGAGCAGCTCTGTCCCTTACACCCAACCTTTGAAGCCTCAAGACTGGATACCAAGGCAGGAAGATCATTATTCTTTTCTTCCTTGAATAGGATTATTATGATGATGATGATTCCTGTGGCATAAGAAAGGATTCTAGCTTTTTCCACCTTTTTCTAACATAAAAACAGAGATGCTGAAATCTCCCTGCTATTACGGAGCAAATAGGACTGGACTTGGGAGGGGGTTTCCTCCCGCCAGAAAACATGACAATCGTAATTAATACAGCCTACCTGTGGGGCAACTGGGAGTAGTAGCACTTACCAGAACAACCTTCTCCACTGACCACTATCACACTGGTTTCAAGACAGCAGAGATAAAGTGCAATTTATACCTTATAATATAGTACTGAAGTAACTAGTACGCACAACACCAACACAAAATGGTTCATTCTCTCCCTCAGTTATACTAATTTTGAATGAGAGTCACCTATTTTTTTGGTTAAAGATAAGCATATCACATAACATGCATCAGAGGAGCTGGATAAATTCATTAAATCAAGAAAAGGTTATCACTGGCTTTGTAACATACCTCAACACCTTCAGAGAAAATGAAGAATGCTGTGAAGATCAGAAACAGACCATTTACAAAACCAGCTAGAACTTCTGCTCGAACATACCTAGGAAAATAAAGAAAAGCAGGTATTAACTGGCATTGTGCATTACTTACAAATTGTATACTATTGTATGTAAGCCATCCCGTGTTTTCTTTCAAAAGCTCGACAGCAACAGGAACCTCGATGTTTGCTGTTTTAAGATTTTTAAAATAAAAAACTGAAGCTTCAACCAAAGGTTATCCTATGCATTGACCTCTCATAAAGAGCCAACTCAAATACAGTATACTTCCTCCACACAAGGACTGTACCCTATGTCTAATTCTGAACTGGGACCTCAGCGTTTGGATCATTAAACATGCATATTGGGGTCAAGTACAGAGATGTCTGAAAAAACCTGAGTCAGCACCCAGGCTTGCACAAAAATACAAACGAACAAAAAATGAACGTATAAGGTAAAAAAGATTTTGTGAAACTATGTCACGATTATCTTGGATGTCAAACAGCTCAAAACAGCCAAAGCAGGTGGAAAACATTGCTGTTAACTAGTATGAGGTAAAGGAAGGAGCAGCTGCCTGCTGCCATGTGATCCTGGCAGGTGGGGTAGGAGGAAAAATGGAAGCCATCAGGTGAGCCAGGCAGGTGGCCTGGACAGTGAGTGGGTAGCCCAAAGTGTGGACAAGTAGGATGGGATTTTCCAGTATCTCCACTTGTGATTTCAAATTTCTCACTGGAGACCCTTATTTTTTATTTATTTATTTATTTATATCTTCGATTTGTATACCGCCCTTTACCCGAGGGTCTCTGGGCGGTTTACAGGTATATGGCCTAAGTGCCTAATTAGTTCCTATCCTAGGGCCACAATTCGACTGGGGAAGGGGCTACCTATCAACACCCGAGCGGCGCGGTCCTGTTGTATTCCACAGGCGGGAATTGTATCTTCCTGGCGCCTTAGGATGGGTCAACGACATCTCCCGGGAGGCTCCTGATGGACTCCTCTGGCACGCAGCAGCTCCCGATTGCAGTTCCAGCCTTTGTCCCTTAGGCTCCGCCGCACTGCATCATCACGCCGTCGCGCCACTGTAGCTCCGCCTCCATCCAGTCTCCGTCGCCGCCACATCCACGGGTCGCCTCTCCTCCACCGTCGTATCGCTGCCGCTGCCGCCGCCAACACTCCTGGCACACACCATCAGGAGGGAGGGTGCCCCCTGCCAACCTAGGGCAGGTACCCATTTGTCTACTTGTGGTTACGCTTTCGAGCCGCTGGGTGGGCGGGAGCTGGGACTTGGGCCGGGAGCTCACCCCGGCCGCAGTGGGTCTCGAACAGCCATAGTGGCTGTTCACTAGTGTTATTAATGCAGGTGTTGAACTGCCTGCGCCACCGCTCCCCTTGGCTACATATTAGTCTTCTGCTGGGTGACCAGCTTGTTAAGCCTATGTAGCCAGGGCCTGTCCAATCAATGCGCTTGGGGGCCAGAACCTCAGATATAACATTACCCAAAGTATAACATGGCCAGAGAAGCCAGCTTCCCAAAACGAGCAACTCATTCTCACCCACTCCAGCTGGAAAACTGGCAATCTCCCCAAAGGCTTCTGCCATAAGCCTCTCAGGCAAGCTTTCATTTTCCAGTATTTCCATTTAAAATACTTATATTTCAGCTCTCTCCCACTCCTGGCCTCCAAGGTGGCTTACAACAAAAGTTTAACACGGTACGCTACAGAGATGTTCTGTTAAAAGTTTTAGCTGATGCCCAAATTATAGGATTGTGGGGTGCTTAAAAAATACACTTCTGAGGGTTTTCATTAGCATGGATACAACGAATCACAAGGAAGGTAACCTGGCAACCTCAAGTGGAGGCACTCAGAGCAGGGCCTTGACATACAGTACGTGCGGGGCTGGCTGTCCTTCAACGCTAGCAACACAGCATCTATGGTATTAAGATCTGAAGCAGCATTTTGAAGTGTGCCCAGAAAAAAAATTGCCAGTTGGTGCAGATCTTTAAACACTGACAATGTTTCAGAACAGGTCCCAGTGAATATTTTCACTATTTCAAACCAACTGAGGATTCTGAACATTTTTCATAGGCATACATAAAATAACACATTGTGGTCATTCGACGTTACCAAGGCACGCATGAATGTGGCAAGGTCACACTCTCTCAGGAAGGACTGCAGTCAATTCACCATCCAAAACTAATAAAGGACATTCTGGGCTATCTTTACCGCTATTTGCACTGGTGGAGCTAACAACACCCCTGGACACAAAACTGATCTTCTACAGGGAGTGCAGCTTCATATGGAATAGGCTAAATACCAACACTTTGATTAATCATGCTAAGAGAACCTCAGTCCTGTGTGGATTAAACTTCAGTTTATTAGTCTCCATCCTGTCAATTACCGAGCACCCACAGCCTCACCTTATTTAGACAAAATGGAGAAATGCAGCTGGGTGTCACCAGCTTGTTTAAGGCGATCCCCTCAAATCCCCAAATGTCCTCCCCCGGCAGACCTTATGCAAGTGTTAAATAACAAGATGGGGTCTTGCGGCACAAATGCCATGGACAAACTAACAAACCAGAGCAAATGGAACCAGAATGTCATACCTCCAATTTACATTCTACACCGGCACTCCAGAAAGATACTCAGTTTAGTGCCACCAGTATGATTACTGCAGTCCAGAATCCAGACTGATTATCTACAGGGAGAATGCCTAGAATTTAGTAGAAGCAGAGGCTTTGAACATCGCTTTTACTCTAAGCAAGGTAGTTTGGAAGCAGGCAGAAAAGATCAGAGCTTGCCTGTTACTTCTCACCATGTCCTGCACGGAGCCCTCCCAAGGAAGGAGGTAGTACCGGAGACCTCCAGGCCAAGCCTCCTGCCTCCTGATGGTAGGGCTCTAGTCAGTCAAGTCAGAAACAACACACAATTTGAGTACTTCTTCTCAAGTGACCCTGCCAATGGCCCAGCTTACACGATATGGATTCTCACTAGGCATACCTTTCTCCAAGCGAGTTCTTGGTGAGAGGACTGCCTGCCAGACTGAGAAAACTGAGAAACTGCTGAAGGTGTGAGATGCTGCCTGCCCAGTGACAATTTTTAGAATTATCCAGTCACAGAGCTGAAGTCAGTCATCTAGTCCAGGCCCTCTGGCAAAAGACTGGTAGTATTGTCTACCTATGAGCCACTGCACGGGCAAACTGAACACACCATCATCTAAAGCTATTCCTCTCACCAAAGCCTACTCTGATATTTCTTTACACCCACCTTTTTCCAGCACAGAACGCTACTAGCAGACTAAGAAAATGACGCCTCTGTCTGAAACCACGCATGCCAGTTAATATGCCAATAAAACAGAAGAGGTTATTTGATCTACGCACATCATTCTCATACCCTGCCACAAAGGGAACTGAGGCATACAGAATCAAAATTTAAAAAATATGCTCACAAGCATATAAATGCAGTCTCTATAGAGAATGAACATTAACATCCATGTATACTTTACGCCTGTTCCTACAATACAGAACTGTATTTTTGCTACTGATACATACAAGCAGAATACCAAGATTAACATACCAAAGTATATAAGCCACAAAGTATGCCAGCCTAAGAATATTAAGAAGCTTAGCAAGAAAATCAAACACAACTTGAAAACCACTAGCATGCGAAGGAAACATGAGCCCCATTACCAGCCACAAAAGCATAGCATGCATCTTCTCCTTAAGCTAGTTTATAAGAAAGACCAAATAATAATGCAACTCTTATTTTATAAAAATCAGGAACTCCACAATCCCACTGGCAGACCTTTCAAGCAGGTTACATGCATACTAAATATGTACCCCACACACAGCAGCCTTAGCTTCTTGAATGGCACTGTTCAAAATCACAAAAGCCAAAGGGTGGTCATTGGGGAACAGCTGTCCCGAAGGCACCCACTAGTTTGCGGAGTGCCCCAAGGAACGGTGCTTTCCCCAGTGTTATTTAACATCTATATGTGCCCCCTTTCCCAGATTGCCCGGAGCCATGGGCTGGGGTGTCACCAATATGCAGACAACACCCAGCTCTATCTGTTGTTGGGCGGCCAGTCTGACTCTAGTCCAGAAGATCTGGACCAGGCATTGAAAGCTGTGGCTGGCTGGCTTAGACTGAGTCAACTGAAATTGAATCTGATGAAGACAGAGGTTCTGTGCCTGAGTCAGAGCAGTCCAAGGGTAGGGATCCCACTCCTGACATTCGATGGGGCGCCGTTAGCACCAGTGCCGGAGGTTAGGAATTTGAGAGTGCTCCTGGATGCCTCCTTAACGATGGAGGCCCAGGTAGCAGCCACTGCAAAGTCAGCCTTTTATCATCTTCGGCTTATTAGGCAGCTGGTTCCTTTCCTCAAACGCAATGACCTGGCAACAGTGATCCATGCAACGGTCACCTCGAGACTGGATTACTTTAATGCTCTCTACATGGGGCTGCCCTTGTCCCAAATCGGGAAGTTGCAGCTGGTGCAGAATGCAGCAGCCAGGCTGCTGTTGGGCCTCCCTATGCGGGAGCACATCCAGCCTACACTAAAAGCACTGCACTGGCTACCTAAAGGTAAAGGTTCCCTTGCTCGAAAGCCAGTCGAGTCCGACTCTAGGGTTGCGGTGCTCATCTCCGTTTCAAAGCCGAAGAGCCAGCGCTGTCCGAAGACGTTTCCGTGGTCATGTGGCCAGCATGACTAAACACCAAGGCGCACAGAACGCTGTTACCTTCCCACTGAAGTGGTCCCTATTTATCTACTTGCAATTTCTTGCTTTCGAACTGCTAGGTTGGCAGGAGCTGGAACTAGAGACAGGAGCTCACTCTGTCATGCGGCAACGTGGGTCTCAAACTGCTGAACTACTGACCTTCCACAGCCTGCAGTTCAGTGTCTTGACCACTGGCTACCTACAGCATACCAAATTCAGTTTAAGGTGCTGGTTCATACCTTGAAAACCCTATATGGTCAGGGGCCTAAATACCTAAGGGACCGCCTTTCTCCACATGTTCCCCAGAGAGCACTACGATCGAGGTCCCTAAACCGTCTGGCCTTTCCAGGCCCCTGGGAAGCCAGGCTGGCTGTGATGAGGGCCAGGGCCCTCCCGCACAACATCAGGCTATTCCACCAGGCCTTTGATTAGGGAGCCGTACCCAATAAACTGAGGCCCTAGCCCCAATATTAATATTAACATCATTATTAACAGCCTGATATAACTCCAGTCTATGATGTTAGCTGACTGCATGCCTATGTTAGATGCTGTTAATGCCCGCCATCATTTATGAATTACACTAGCACTTATGCTATGTTTCATAACTATATTGTTGTGATTTTATTCAATTTTTTTCTTTTAGTTGTTCAATACATTTTATGTAAGCTGCCCTGAGCCTGCCCTAGCAGGGAGGGCGGGATATAAATTAAATAAATAAATACTAAACATACCCATGTCATCAACCATCAACAAAACAGCATGACACAATTCATCTAGCAATATTTCATTAGTATCAAGAAAGAAAAGTTTCTCAAGTATACAAGATTTTGCCTTCTTTACAAGAAGGATCTCTTAAATTTACCTTAGTTCAAATTAAAGTATTTGTCGCCTAACCAGCTTTAATGGAACTACTAGCTGCAATACTGCTTTGCCAATGTACTGTAACAAAACTGTACAAGATATAACATATTGGTTTCTTGGAACATCTATATTCCACCAGCTGAAATTTCTTACCCATAGGAGAAAGCATCGTTTGATCTCCACTTTGAAATAACTGAAGCTGCCAGTCCAGCTAACAGAGCAGTACAGTCAAAAAACATGTGAAACGAATCTGATATTAAACCTAAACTGGAAAAACAAAGGGGAAAAAATTGTTAGGTGCAGAAACGACAGCAAATTCATTGGAAATCAAAGAAATGTAATTATATTTGCAATACCAGTGTATGATGGCCTGACCAAATGACAGCATCCTCCAGAGCTGTAAACAACCCCTTTAGAAATTCAAATAATGTATGCTGCATTACTGATACGGCTGCACTCACAGCATTTTCCTGGCTTATCCTCATAAATGAATCAGAGTTTGTCTGTGACTCCTGAATATACCTTCTGCTATCATATTTCTCTGGCCTCACCATATCAATCTCTATTCTTTCTGCCTACTTTAAAAGTGTGCCTTATGCTCTTGCAGGCTATTTGCTATTTATAGCTGCTCTAAGTGTTACTCTGAAGATACTTCTGCTGCTAATAATTTTATGAGCCACCCCAAAGTGAAGTGAAGCAATGCCAGGTGAGCCTGCCGATGACCTGTTTGTGCAGGCAATAGACAGGCAAGCAAATAAATATATGGACCAGGCAGCAATAACACTTCATCCTCATCTTAATAGTCAGATACTGGGTTTTGTTTCAAAGGTTGAGTGTATGTGTATTATACATACAAAAATATTATTAATTTCATAAGGTTTCTACATAATAATAATCTCTATGCCAGAGAGACGGAGTATACAAGTCTAGGGGCTTGCAAGGCTTAGTGCTGTCACAATTAAAAATGTCTTATATATGAATTCAGCCACTGAGCATTCTTTTTGCAACATAAGCAGAGAACCAAATGTGGCCTCAAGCCCTTTCTATGATGTTTCATACACAGAGATCATCAAAGAGTTCAAGAAGTCACATGAGATGCAGCCCTTAATGGACACTAAAAGCAGTATGTCAAGATTTTAACTTTAGAAACTAAAGCTATTATTAGAGTCAGCTATGACTCTAAGAATAGATAACAATATGAATGAAAGACCTTGCTGGCATAAGTATTTTGCTTTGAGTTTCTGCTAGGATACAAGGACACAACTTCACAAGAAACAAGGCATCAGAATTTAACAGCTGCTATCAACAAATAACATTTTACATAAGAACGCAAATCTGCAAGGAAGATTTCCAGTGACCATGGAAATCCATTTCAGTAAACTTATGACTGTATAAGAGGTTAAGCCTTTATGAAATGTCTCAGGAAATAACAATACATTTATATCTTTCTACATTTTGCCTGCAGCAACCTTTAATATATTAAAGTTTCCTTATCCCTCCTGCCCTATTTCTGCATAAAATCCAACACAGCAGGCCTTGCCACTATTTACAGTTTCATAGATATCAAGCCAAAAGTCCACCCCAGAAACACTGAATCTGCCAAATCCTATACTCAGAAGTCATGACGCAAACAGCACCTTGGCCAACACCAGTTAAGGTAAAGGACCACATTAGCTTCTGCAAAACCTACATCAGCTTTCTTCTATTAGCCAAAGACTTTCCTTCTTGAAGAAGAAAATCTGCACTTACCTCACTTCTCTTATCCTAAAAACAAAACTATTCTCACCGAAAAGATTGCCTTCAGAAAAAGTACACAAACAGTTAATCCCCTAAAACAACCTGTCCCAGGGAGAGCATCAGCCAAACCGATCCAATCC